GGGTTCAGAATGAAAATTTGTAATTGAAGCTGATTGGCTGAAATTTCCATCCATGGCTCAACCAAACTCAACCAAACCCATCCATCCATCCAGCAAAAGTGATGGATGGACTTGCAAGTGTCAAAAAAAAGACAGGATTCACATTACCAAGTTCAGCTAGTTATAAGAGAAAAACAATGTGGTCACTGGAATATGTAATATGTAACCTGCATGATAGTACTAAAAGCCTAACCGTGCCAGCCAAAGACTTCTCCCCCTCTCTACCCTCACTGCAGAAAAAATCCACAACTAGTACCGAAACACCTATAATGTCATATGATAATCAAATGAATTCCTTTCCACACGAAACCGAGTAAGATATACAAGTTATGTCCGAATCCCACATTTTCAGCAATCAGGTAGAGGGTAAGCAACAATCTATGACTTCTAGAATCGTGGAGGTAAGAAGTCATTACTTACAAATAATCACCTCTGCTAATATTGGAATATTATAATAGAATTCCGTTCTCCCAAATGTTGCCCAGAATCAGAGCAATCAATTTCAAAGTATGGTACCGAGAAGTGAACCAGGTCCTGGTCAGTGGAGCATAAATGATAGGAAAAAACTACTGGAATAGTTCGGATGCAACTTGCAGAACTATAAATCATTTAAGACTGATAAGAACTGAGTTGCCAATTGGATATCCAAGGAAATCTAGGATGGGATAAGGTCTGCGAGTTTGGTCAAAAGTTAAAAGGAATCAATCAAGAAAATATACCAAATTGCTAAAACCAAATTAAACTTAACTGGTAAGGGCCAGCAATATGATTACGAGTTATGGAAAAGTACACATACAAGCTGGCTTGACAAATTATATCCATTCTATGAAGCAATTGATGATATCCTTCAAAGAGATAAAAGATTTACCCTATTCTTTACTTCAGAGAGTCGACTATCGGTATCTTTTGAGGCAAACAATGAAAATACACCTTAATTTGAGACATCCAACTCTGAAACGAAATTGATCAACAGTCTATTAATCAATATTATTGATGAAAGAGAAGATCATAACAGGATTGTACCATTAACAAATCTAAATAAGGAAAGTAAGGACGAGAATTTTGGCAACTCAAGTACTATGACCACCACAGAACATCCACTAGCTAGGGGTTCAAAAAATACAAGAAAGCGAGGTTGCACTAGTGGTAATGGGAAGAAAGCCATTAAAAGAGAAAAGATTAGTACAGAGGAGAAGATATTTCGGTCAATTTAAAAGAAGAGACTTACCTTGGAAAAAGAACTATTCTAACATGAAATCAAGAGAGATGAGATCCAACGGTGGTTTTCTGAAAAGCGAGAAGAGAATAGGTATGAGGAGGCATTAATGCGAATATGACTTTTGAAAAAGCAATTTGAGCATTAAGCTATATAGCTTTAGTCTTCTTTCTTAATTTATTTGTCTTTTTTTTTTCCCCTTTATTTTATTTTTTGCAGTTGTTTTTTGTTACTAATTTAATTACTATCATTTACTGAAAGCTTAATCAACTATCATGAGAATATTATGAAAGTCATTACCTATATAACATTTCAGATCATATGAATTAATAAACTTTCTCTTAAATCATCATCATTTTTTTTGTTGTTTCACTCTTGTCTTTTTCATTTCTGTTCAGCAGATATCTGCTCAATCATCACTTGATACATTTGTGCATATTCAATATCTTCTACTGGCTCCCACTTATCTTCTCCTTCATCATTTACTATAAAGTTGTATAAACTACAAGCAGCTTCGAAGTAATGGACAAGTCACTTATGTGTAGCTTTATTACATATTCGAATGGAAACATTTGTAACTTCTGGAAACTGAGCTTTCAATAGGCCAAATGTATTCTCAATCATAACTTATGGAGCACTCAGGGTTGCATGAAACATTTGCTCCTCAGATCCTTTTGCTTGCGCCTGTTTAAATGGTATAACTATGAAATCATTTGTTGTATATGCAGAATCACCTAAAAGGTATTTATTTTTATTGAAGAATAACCAGAGCCATAAGGTAAGTTGAGACTGCACGAAGACCCCTGCATCATGGACTGCACTTGTATCACTTATACAAAGATATGTGATATGCTGATTATTATCACAAACTACTATCGCACTTAATCTATACGTTAATTTACGGTAAAAGTCCAAATACCAGTCTGTTAAGGGAGCAGTATTGAGAATAACAAAGGTACCATCAATAAAGCCAACAACACCAGGGAAGACTCTGAAGCTGACATCACATACCTACTGTTTGTGAGATTTTTGTTCTTCAGCTGTTGGCTAGGTAATAAATTCTGTATGTAAAGACAGCAATGCTGTCAATACTAGGTTACAGTATAGTAATATCATTCCCTCACCAATACCAACTTCTAGAGCCACATCCCAATGTGAATCTCCCATTCCTGTACTACAGTTTCTCCTTAACAAGACTGCAAACTGATGCTGAACAGTACTCTGTTGATAACTGGATTGGTTTAATAAAACTGAGTGTGTACTGATTCTGGATACAATGTGGAAAAAGGCAGGGTTTCCTATATGAAATGTGGTATGAAAGGCGCATTCAGATTGTAGTCTTTCTGGCTCGAACCAGCAGTTAATTGAGATAGCAGGTGGTATTCTTTTTCGCTCATTGATGTATCATTTTGCCTTCAAAATTCTGATAATCTCCTCCAACTCTTGTTGCTCTTTGACAATACCTATATCTTCCACATTCTAGGTACAGCCACTAGACAAAAGTCTTGGTGGTAACGCAATGTGAGACGGTCCGTGCCACTGCGAATCGTATAATGCTGTCCACCCTCCCCCCTCTGGCTGCCCTGAAACAATGAAGAAAGACATCGGATAAAATATTAAAAATTAAAAATTAAAAGGTAAATACGAACATTAAAGATTGAAAATTAAAAATTAAAAGTCCACCAAGCTAGTATCAAGTTTACCAGCCTTTAGCATCAATAACTGCTGAAACTCTGGAAAGCATGGAGCGCCAGAGATTTCAAAAAATGATTTTGGAATAGTTCCCCAGACAATCAGTAACACCTCTGCCAGTCATTCTCGGATCTTATTGGGTCCCCCTCTAATATCCAGGATATCAGGATATTGGATATAGACGTGTCGCTTCAGCTCAACCTAGGAGTGCTTGATGGGGTTGAGATCGGGAGATAGGGGAGGATGATCCTCGAGGTCAATCCCATTGTCACTAAACCACTGGCAAGTGTTCTTAGCTGTGTGGACACAGGAGTTGTCTTGTTGGAATAGGGGGTCTACAACTTTGCGTGCAATCTCCTGCATGACCGGGGGGAGGTGGCTGTCCAACAGCGCAATGTAAACCCATTGGTCTACTTTGTCTTCTAAGATAGGCACTAGGGGGCCCTGGCGGCCACGCCAAAACCTTCCCCATACTATCAAGCCAACATCGTTGGCTTTCCCTCTTGGCTTGATGCAATCAGTCAGCTACTTGTCTTCTGGGGTTCGAAAAACCCATTTCTGTGCCGGGTTGGCAGACTTTCTAATGGTAGACCCGTCGCTATAGAGTATACCTTCAAAGTCCTCCGCAGTGCAATCCTTCCGAGTAAGAGCCCATTCTAGCCTCTTCTTGGCATAAACTGCTGTCAAGCGCATATGGGTTTGTGCAAGCCATTTTTTAATATTGGCTTGGCGCAGAACCCTGTCTATCGTCTGGATAGAAACATGGGGGGCATGACGATTCCGGAGTTCCAATCGCGTCATGCCCCGATCCTTGGTAGCTGCATGGACAATTGCTCAACGCTCTTGTTGGCTGAGGATTACTGGCCTTCTGGGGTGTGGGGCATTTTCTATGTACTCTCGATCGCATGCCTAGGCAAGGAAGCTGCAAACAGTGGACCAAGAACGATTGACAAGCGTCGCCACAACTGATATCTTTTGGAAGATATGGAAAAAGGCAATTATCATGCCTTTTTCCAAATCTGGCATTTCTCTCCCGGCTGTCTTTAGCTTGTGGCGCGAAACTGAATTCTTCTTGGGTGGCATTTTCGTGTATTATATTCTCTAATATCTACACACTTCATTTTGATAACATTGCTGAGTAATCACTGACTCAGCATCACCAACACTTTTGTCTAGTGGCTGTACTTCCCACATTCCATTTTTAGTCTCGCAGTACCTCATTACCTCCTTCTCTGGTATTCCAATATGGTTTACCATTGTCTCCCCTCACCTTATTGAACAACTCGTTGTTCAATAATTTCTCCAGCTCATTTCACTTGTTTTCTTTTCTGTGGTCTGTCTCATTTGGACTACTCTCCTCAATGTCCACTTCCTCCTCCTCTTTCCAGCACTCCTCCTCCCTTCTTCCTTGGTAAACCTAGTCCATATACAGTAGTTTTGGTAGGCACTGGAGCACAAGCTTGCACTTTCCATTGGCATTCTCTTTTTGAAATCTTCTCCATCATTCCAGTATTGCAATTAACTTTTTGCACTTTGTACCTTTTAGCATTGTTGTAAATAGGCATAAGGTCCTCATACAATTCCTCAGTGTTCTTTGTATATACAACCTGATTTATCTTACATTCCAGATTCTACCCACTCTCAACATGTCATAATGACGTTCCATTTACTCTAGCTTACATTTCCTAGATTCTGAACCAGTCTGTTGCCATCCAACCTCCTCTGGGATCCTCAAACCAGCTCCTAGGATGGCTCATTCTATTGGCTCCTTGTTTCACCAGAAACCAGCTTGTTCCGAACCCGTCCAGAATCCGACGAAGGTTTGAGGACCCCTAATGTAAGCGGTTCGAAATAAATTTGACGTCTCCGGAACCTGAGGGAAATACAATAGCTTGTATGTCATTGGGGAATACCCAGACCTCGGTGTTGACTAGACTCAACGCGGTTGCGCAGGCTCTTGAGGCATTGTCCAGTGACGCTAAATTATCCCATTATCACAGCATCTCGAGCTACACAGATCGACACACATGTGACCAAAGCTAGTGTGAACCTGTTTTGGAACTTGAGGAGTGTGTATCATTCGATTCACAACGGGGAACAAATAAGCTAACACTTTGCCCCCGCATCATGAACTTTTGCTAGCTCACTTTGCCCAAGGCTCGAATGGTGAAAAGAGAGGAGCGACGGCGGTGATCCAACCATGGAAAACCCTTCTAACAGAATTTCTCACACTTGACCACAGAAAAAAACCCTCAAATCTACTCCTCCTCCACGCCTCCACGGCTCCCCTCTTGAGCCTTCCCAGGAAGGGTATCCTCCAAGGCGACGAGTTCAATCTCGACATCAACTCCCTTTGGCAATTCTCTCACAGCAACACAGCTCCTCGCCGGCTTGTGGCCGGAAAAATGCTTCTCATAAACAGAATTCATGCGGGCAAAGTTGGCCATATCTGAAAGGAAGACGGTGGTTTTAAGGACCTTGTTGAAGGAGGAGTTGGCTGCCTTGAGAACGGAAGCAAGATTCACGAAAACGGCCTCCTGTAAAACAGTCAGCTGTTGTATGTGGACCGCTGGGGAGGGGAAACTCTTTACAGTGCATTCCTCGATGCTACCCCTGATAACATTGCCGCTCTTGTCGGCGGGGATCTGACCGGAGACGAAGATGAGACCATTGGCCTTGATGGCTTGGGACTAATTCCACCGTTAATTCAGTGCATCAAATTGAGGGCAAATGGCTTACATAGGGCCCCGCAGCTATATTCGCCAAACGAAAAGGGTAAGCAATGATCAATCAACCATTCAGAGGAGAATAATCGGTAGAAGGGACACTTACGGGGTGCGGCATCATGAGTGAGAACCTAACAAACAAATAGTTCGTTAGTGAATTGATATATCAAGTTGAAGAGGAATTGGACAACACACTGGTTTAGGAATGGCGCTCATTTTTCTGGTGACCAAGCTTCTAATAATGAAGTATTTCGAAAATTGATGCGAGAGGACAAATGAGGGAAATGTAGGGGGCATCAATCAGTTTTTAAGGGACATCGAGTTATCAGTAAATTTGGACAGAGGGAGGGGATGACGAAAGTAGGGTGGGATTAGTTTGGTGGGGCAGTGTGGTGCCGGGACCAACGGGTCCTGAACCGTGATAAATGCATTTCTGATGCTGTACAAACATGCATCCCTGATCTAGTACAGTACAAGGGGCAGGCATTTAGTTTTCGAACACACCAAAGTGGCTTACCCGCAAAAAATCATTAAAAACTGGTGAGGTCACAAACTGGTGTGTTTGAAAACTAAATGCCTGCCCCTTGTACCCAGTGGAAGTTCCATAAACGGCTCGTAGCATGAAAAAGATAATTAAAGCGCTTTAGGATTTTTTTTTTTTACGAGAATTGACTAACCGTGCCAAGGCTGTGGCTCCGCCACAACCCACAGTTTGCTTTCGCAATCTTAGGCACTCTCTTCCAGAGAGAGCCAACGGCTCAACGTCAGATTCGGCTCAACGTCACTTTCACGCTTAATTGAAACCAAAGTCCCACCAGGTGAAAATAAAAGTTGTAAAAAAGCAGAAAGAAAATGGAAGACTTATTCTCAAAGACTTAGGATAATATGTGAGAAAGCCAGAAGAACATTTAAAGCATCAGGGGATGTTTGGTAGTGGTTCATAATTCTTAAATTCACATACAAATTGAATCTGAATCTGACGTTGAGCTGAAGGGCACTCACTTCCAGAGAGAGCCCGGGGTTGTGGCGGAGTCACAACCTTGGCACGGTTAGGGGGGGGGGGCACCCACCAATTTATGGGAAAACGAGAATACAAGTAACTTAATGTGTGAGTGTCGATACACCACTTATAGGAAGGAGTCGTCTACGGTAGGTTGTATGGACCTCGTTATAATTGAACATTGGGTTCAATGTGCTACGGAATACGAAAGCATACAGGATAGTTGACCACGTCCAAACCACCTACCATTCAGTCATCTGCTCGAGTACCGTATGATACTCGAGTAAAGCGCAGTAACGGTATCGGGACTGTACTCGTACAGCTCAGTAGGCACAGTGCTAGTTCAATCGGTTTAGCAATGATCCAATATCCGCTTCTCTACCACGGAGTACTGTACTAGTACAGTATGATATAGCAGACTGTTGCAATGGTGCAATGAAGGGGGGGGGTTGGATCAAAAAAACAATCGAAGGGGTGCATGAGTGAATAAAATTGTGGGACGAAAGCCTTAGCAAACCCACCTGAAAAAAACCATACACAACTACATGATCTTTGAATAGAACCAGCAATTCAATATGACTTGAAACCAAAAGCCAGCCCTGCAACATCAAAACACTGAAGAAGGTGATGATGTCATAAAAAAGCATGCAGAAAGAGTAACCTATTGAGAAATTACAAGGAGTGCTAGGTTTTCAAATCTATTGCATAATGGATTGTTCTCTCCTTCGAAAATGATTACAAAATACATGAAGCAACCTGTATTGGACAGCTTAAAAAGATGTTGGAGAGTGAGCATCAGTTTGTGAAATTGCTAGTGATGCAAGATCCTCATCGTACAATCTCTGAAATTGTAGTAGTATCAGGACTACAAGTCTCTAACTGCTGGATCAGTAATACTCTTTGTGCAGAGAACTAGCAGGTAAAGTCTTGTAGTAGGAAGCTATAGCTTAACTAGAAGAATTAACAAAAGACAAAGAAGTTTGTATAGGTTATTATTTATGGCCAAATGAATAGTGATATAACTGTTTTTGTAGAGATGAATTTTATCACCAATTTGGTTTAAGTTTTCAAGACTAATCATGAGATGAAAATTAGAGATTTAGTATGAAGAAAGACATTTGTCTCCAACTTTGTAGGTTTTGTACTTCTGGATATTTCTCTCATGTTCCTGTTTACAAAAGATATGAATAGGAGCATAAATCAGGTAGAAGCTACTAGTAACTCTAGTATGTACCAAGAAGACTTTAGCTCAAATCTTTACTGTAGATGGAGATTTTCTAAGAAAGCTGAGTAATATTTTTTTCATTTATAACTGCTAAGAACTTGCGACAAGGGCCAATAAAAAATAAGAAACTAAAGATTTATTGTAGAACTTATAATATGATTAAAATCACTTCTTAGTTGTATGATGTCAGAAAAGCTTGGAAAGATGAAGAAGAAATTATGCAATTACGTAATGTGTTCTAAAACTAATTGAAGTATATAGGTGTCACAAACATGGCTTGGTGAGGACAAGGTTTTCATGTGAGGCAAGGTTATGAGTCATAGGTAGGTTATTGTTTTGCACCTATGACTGATTCGAGTGATATGACATGATGTGTTATAATTTGTTCTGTTTGGCACATGACTTGAGTATGAGTCATGGGACATGTGCCTGGCGAGTGTGCCTGGCAGGTATGCCTTGCGCATATGATTTATGTTTAGTAGATGACCTTGTTATTAGGTCATGGGTTTCGCGCATATGACTACTTAGGGTCATATGACTTCTTTATTACGTTATAATTGGTTTATCAGTTCTGGCACAAGATCTTGCTACAAGGTCATGGGTTATGAGCATATGACCACTTTGGTTAGATGATTTCTTTATTATGATTTGGTTTCGTACATGTGACCAGTTTGGGTTACATGACTTGGAGCAGGAAGAACACTATATCAGGAGGCCAGTACAGCCAAGGAGGATAGGTTCATCGACCCTCATACTTTGTTCACAGTACTTTTCCTTGTCCTTGCTGTCGCTTCACCTTGAGTGTTTCTTTCACACTCATGGTGGGCCTTGATGCCTGGGATTCAGGGGGAGATATCTGAGTTCGCTCAGTAGTTCCTGGGGTTCTTGGTGTTGAGGCCTGTTGGCGTTGTGTAGCGGATTACTTGTTTGCCTCCTGTTTCGTTGGCTGCTGGTTATCTCATGATACTGTCACTTCGAGCTATTCATCAGGGTCACTTACAAGCCCCTTTTGGTCAAATGTCATCGGCTTCCTGTCTATTGTCTACTCACAGGTTTCGCGTTCGATTAGGGGGGATGGAACATTGTATCTGGGGAGATCACGTGTGTTGTTCTCTGGGCCAGGTCATATTATTGTTGGGTTTTAACGGAGTCCTTAGTTCTCACGATACAAAACGTCCTTGGGATAGACAGATGATCTTCTCTAGTATCAACTCATCGTACTGGCCGCATCATTCCTCAGGTAGCAGGGTGGTGCCCACCCCCTCCCCGTTAGGTTTTAGTTTTTAGTGTCAGAATCCTACAATATTGTTTATCACCATTCCCTTGGAGTTTTTGTCGATGTGGCATTTACTGTGGTTCAATCAGGTGTCTCCTCCTCGCCTCCGTGGGGATGGCTGTGACCCTGAAAAATCTTACCCCCTGGTGTGGTTTCTCATGACTGCCTGGGGTGGTGGGGAATAATTGACTGCTAGACACTCACATTGTCTGTGTGTTTGGGGGGTTCGGTTGCAGATTGTGGTTGGCAGCTTTACCCATTGCAAGTGGGGCCAATCTTGTGTTTGTCTGCTCCTGTTCACACATCCTCTCCCTTCATGTCACATCAGTTGGGGGTGCCTCTTACCCGTTGTTCGGTCGGTACTTGTTGCCGGACCTGTTGGGCTGGCTTGGGCTGGCTCTGCCTACTCTTTTCCAGCTTGGTTGGGCATCGGTTCAAGTGGACTGGATTGTGTGGCTAGTGCTGGTATCTTCGGGTTGTGGTGCTATCTCCTTAGTGGCTCCCGGCTGTGGCTGATAGGTCCCCCTTGGCTGCAAGTTGCTGGAGGTTGGGGCTCTGTTAGTGTGGCCAAGACCAGTAGCTGCCTGATGGGGCTAGGTATGGGCTATCCTATGGCTATCGGATGGTTGATCTCGCTGAGGGGCTGGCGGGGCTGGATGGGCTCTGTGGCGTCTGACGTGTGGGGCTTGAGGGAGGCTGATTGCGGGTGGAGAGGCACCTGCGACCACCAGTCTGGCCTGCATCAGGTTGGGTGAGGTCTAATTAAGTGTTTCCAGTCTAGCTTGGGCTATTTGGCGAAGCTGCTAAGTGCCATAAAGCTCCCTGATGGACTGGCTGGCTGATGGCCCCCTGTGCAAATAGTGGGTTGCGACTACCTGTTTGGACTTGTTTGGGTCTTGCATGCTGGGTTTTGTGAGATTTGTTTGGTTTCTTTGGTTTGGTTACAGGTGTGGCGGGAGGAGGCATGGCACCACAGGTAAGAGATAGGCCCCACTGACCTTTTTGGTCAGTCACAACCTCTATGTATTTCCTATGTTTAAATTTGTTTTGGTTGGGGGACAGGCAGCTGGTACTGGTCCTCCTCACCGGTACGCTCTGTGGAGGTAACTGGCAAAGTAGGTTCATAGGGTCGATGGCCGGGCATGCGGGTGTGAGAGGCTAACATGTTGGTTGCCTCCTCTCTGCCATTTTGTCGCCTGTAGGTTTAGCTTGTGTGTTTGTTGGTTTTCTACTGTGGGGGAGGTTTCATGGGATGGTTTTTAGATTGGGTGGTAGTGATATTATATTTGTTAGACGAGGAACCTGGGTGGGTTGGTCTTTTGCATAGCTTTGGCTACGATTAGTGGTGGTTGGCTTCATACCAGAGGGGCTACGGACTTGGACTACGGCGGGCGCTGTGTTGTTTGATGGTCTTGTAATTAGTTCATTTCTGTGCGTGACTCAGAGATGGCAGGTGCAGGGCCATAGACTGAGTTCGTCTAGGATTAGTGGTATTCCGGTTAGCAGTATTCCTGTGCTGGCAGGGGCTTATCATATGCCAGTGTTGGCGGTACGAGTTTAAATAAAATTAGATTGAATTCTAAGTACTTTTCCTCATCCTTGCTGTCACTTCGCCCCAAGTATTTCTTTCGCACCTATGATGGACCTTGATGCCTTAGATTCTGATGGAGATATCTGAGTTCACTCAGTAGTTACTGAGGTTCTTGTTGTTGAGGCCTGTTGAGGTTGTGTGGCGGACAGCTTGTTTGCTTCTCATTTCGTTGCCTGCAGGTTATCTCATGATGCTGGCACTTCGAGCTATTCATCATGGTTGCTTACAAGCCCCTTTCGGTAAAGTGTCTTTGGCTTCCTGTCAATTGTC